AAGTGCATCGGTTCTAGTAACAAGTGCCTTACTAGTAGTAACAAGAAGCTATTAGTAACAAGAAGTGTTTGATATCAACTCTTTAGGCATTGTTACATCTTGTTACCATGCATCGGTGGCCAAGTCACACTGCAATTATCACCATGGACTGCCGAAGGATCTTCATCTGGGTGCGTGATCAAGGTGTGGAAGGTCAATGGTTGGCTCTCCAAATTGGCAACATGGTTTGGCTGCCCAAGTGCGCTCACTCAGTCTAACAGCAGTTGGATTAGATATCATTATCTTATATAGCAACTTTTGAAGGGTGGGACCTTCGGCGCACCGCCCTGGACGAACGAACAAAGGAGAAACAATGCATCCGGAGAATCTCTGAGTGCGTGTCCACGTTTCTCTTTGCAAGCTCTACCAGCCAGCCGCTCATTCAGGCTACTCATGGCTACTCTGCCAACTATTTATATACGCCAAACGGACTCAACTGCTCAACCTGGGCATGTATATACCGTAATTTCCTCCGCCATGACCCCGGGGCTCTGGCCACAAGCGTCATATATTCAGATCTCACACGCATTTGGATCACATCTGCGATGCTTGCCGCCTTGTGAAGTCGCACCAAGCCTGGTGAATTCCACAGGCAGTCCATGAAGGCCATCTTGGGAACACTAGGCCCCAGTTCACGCCCAAACACCAATGGATTTCATGTCTCAGCCGTGAAACTCCCCACAAACGTTCAACTGGTGCGCGAATTCACCGCTTCACGATGCTCCAAAAATGCAGCCGCGCAACGAACAATGCGGAAAAGTCCTTGGACCCACGGCAAACAAACACACTATAGGCAACTGTGAAAAGCAGGGCTGGAGATTTCGTGATTCGTGCTGTCAGATGCTCACTCTCTCACTCACTCACAACCACATTCACACTCAAACTCACACTCACTCTCACTCACACACTCTCCACTCCCACCCAGACTCTGACCCCGTCACATTCGCACTCACACTCACATCACCCACACACACTTTCACTCTCACACTCGCACTCACACTCACTCACCCCACACTCACTCACCCCACTCTCACTCGCACACACACTCACACTCTCACTCTCTCACTCACTCACTGACTCACTCTCACTCTCACTCTCGCTCTCCCTCTCCCTCTCGCTCTCGCTCACACTCACTGTCCCGACTCTCCCACTCTCACTCTCACTCACATGCACTCACACTCACTCACTCTCCCACTTACTCACACTCACACTCCCTCACACTCTCACTCTCATTCTCACTCACTCTCACCCACAGACAGGATCACAAACCGACAAACAAACAAGCATCGAGGTCTTAGTGACCAAGGACAAACTGTCCTGCGCAGGAGCATCGGTAGCCTGGGTATCGAGCGAACTTCAGTTCGCCGACGGCATGACAAAACACAGCGCTGCAGCACTTTTAGCACAACGACTACGCAGCCACATAACATGCCTACGACCAGACCCGAACTTCACTGCAGCAAAGAAGAAAACAGTTGAACAGCGCAAGAGCAGCCAAATGCGCTATGCAGTGACAAAGCCAACGGCACAGCTAGCACTACTAGCCTCTCTAGCAACCACAACAACTGCGCACTCCACAAACCCTACAGAACCACCGACAGACAACATGGACTACCAGAACTTCACCTTCCTCGCTGTCTTCACCGTCATGGTAGCCCTGCTGGTGAATCTGGCCCTGAACTACTTCACCAACCGGCAGGAAAAATGCCGTCACCTCAAGGACGGAACGAGCCAAACCAGCTACAGCGACCTGACCACCCTGGTCAGCCACAGAAAGAAGGAACAACAGCTGGAAAAGACGGTGGAGACCCTCCAAGTCAAGCTCCAACAAGCAGAGCAAGTCATAAGCACCCTACAGGCCCGACACAAAGAAGAAATGAAAGCCCATCGTGAACTCCACGATCGGCAGTTCGAAATAAGATGAGGGTCATGTACGAGCAGGAGGTCAAGATCCGAGCTCGCAACAGAGTGAGAGCCGCGATCCTGGCGGACGTGCACCACACGAACCATGGTGCACGCTGGCACGCCTCCTTCCAATGCGCCAGCCAAAGGACTGCCAACGTGACCTACACCCTGAGGCCATGTAAAGAGTGTGCCCACACCCTGGGCGAAAACTGGCTTGGAGTGGAAACGGCAGCGCTAGAAGCCGCGGAAGCCGCTTTGGATGCAGCAGAGACTGCATATGCTGCCCACAACGCAGCGGAGAGTTCTCAAGGTGGACTTTCCACCGGTGTGAATTCGACGCCGTCGAACGAGCTTGCGAGGTCACCTGGAGCGACTGCCGCTGCTCCTTGGGCCAAACCGCCCCTCATGTCCTGTTGTTTGATGTCCATCCTAGATGGGTGGGCATTGCACTGTGCACATCGAGCTATGGCCACGATG